AGTGGTAACAGACAAAAAAAAAAAAAAAAATAAAAAAAAAACACATCTTAGTAAAACCAATACCTTCTCAGCTTCGCATCGAAGCTAAAATTATATATTGCACTTATAAATCATAAAAATTGTAATCAAAATTTAAATAAAGAAATAGGAGATCATGTAGCTTTTAGAATAATCAATTAATTTTTTAAAATTAAACACTATCTAAAGATTTGCATCGAAGTGTTTTTTTTTTTATAGTGATTTTAATCACTGTCAGATATCATTATACTTGATCCATCTATGTCACGTCACCACTGTGCTGCGACCCCCCTGTGCTGGGTTTTTTTTTTTAATTTAATTAATATTTTTTTTGTAGATAATTAATTAATAATAAATTTAATTACCACATAACGATTTATACATAAAATTATAATAATTAAAACTTTTTAGCTCTTTTATTATTATTAGATATATAATAGGGTGTCCCATATTTTTAAAATTTTTGAAACTCTTTGAGCTAACCCCCTAAATTTGTGTGTATACATATAAAAAGTGACTATAAAAAATTTCAGTCTGATCTGTTAAGTTTAACTAGTGCCGACTTGGGGTTGAAAATCGGCCAAAAGAGGTAGTTTTTATTTTTTAGCAATTAACTCGTAAATTAACGTTCTCACAAAAAAGTGTATAGAAAATAAACTGTAAATCTATTTGTTTTGTATAAATTAAGTTCTTACAATTTTTTTTCTAAATCCATTAGTTTTATAAAAAATTGCCAAAATACGTTATATTTCGTAAAATTGTCGAAATTGGCGTATTTCATCATAACTGACGAACCATATGTGATATGACCTAATATTTCATACAAAATTTGTTAAAAATTAAATTTTATAAAATAAAAGTAATTAGTAAAAATTTCATTGAACCGATTGTTTTATTACTATAGTTTAGATCATATATAGTATAGTTATCATCTAGTATAAATAGTATGATAAATAGTACCGATAGTCGTAGTTGCGTCAGATTGGTGTAAAATAAATGCACGAGACGCAGTTTATTAGTGATGAGCAGAATTACTCTTGTTCTTGCGGTCTTGGCTTGGTCTTGCATTTCTACGAAACCAAGAACAAGACCAAGACTGTAATAATATCAGCAAGACCAACATCAAGACTGTACTCAATTGACAAGAACAAGACCAAGACTTTTTTAGCAAGACCAAGAACAAGAACAAGACTAGACTTGCAAGAACAAGACCAAGACCAAGACTCAAAATGCAAGAATCTTGCAACAACAAGAATAAAACTGCAAGAGTATTGCACTCTTGCAAAAAAAAAAAAAATTGTTGTTGGTTAAAATCGTTAAGATTATTAATGACAGATTCGACAATATTAAATTTTACTTTGATTTTTATTCATTACGCGTATTGTTCAAATTAAATATTACCTATGAGCTGATGTTACCGATTAACTTAAAATTTTACAATCATGTTTCAAAATTTATTGTCATTCAATTGTAATTAATTAATTTTAAATAATTAAAGAAGATTAAAAATAAATATTCCGTGCTTCAAACATTATGATAAAATTAGATAAAATTTTTGTTTACTTCTAAAGCGGAGACTGAAACTGGTTTTATAAAAACTGGTTATAACAGTTTTTTTCGGTTTTGTTAATCAAAACCAATAATTTTTAAAAACTGTGTCTATGAACAGAAAGCGATTATTATTTAAAACCGGTTTTAAAAATCGATACATAAAACCGGCGACTGGTAAACTCATAAAATAAATATATTCATGTTCATTATTCAATGAAAAAAATTAATTAAAATGCAAAAAAAATTATCCGACTAGGAGAATCGAAATCGCGTCCTCCCCGACCGCACTTCCGCTGCGTTACCATTCGGACAATATTACGCCATCAGTTTAAAGTGAAAAAATACTTTGTTTCAATAACGTCTTATTTTTTTATAATTTAATTTATTTGTTTATTTTTTTTTAATACCCCAAACTATTCATAAAAAAATCATCCATATTGTTTATGCTAATATTAAGTTCTAACTTAAAAATCCTATGGCATATAAATTAAATTTGAATTTACAAACTGAAGTAGATAACTTCGTTATTTAAACCTTTTAAGTAGAATTTTTTTACAAATATAAATGAATGCAAGATTTTGCAAGAGTATTGTGACAAGACTCACAACAAGAACAAGATTTTATGGGCAAGACCAAGAACAAGAACAAGACTAAATAAGCAAGACCAAGAACAAGAACAAGACTAGATTTGCAAGACCAAAACCAAGACCAAGACTGAGTTAGCAAAGCAAGACCAAGAACAAGAACAAGACTAGATTTGCAAGACCAAAACCAAGACCAAGACTGAGTTAGTAAAGCAAGACCAAGACCGAGACTGAGCTATCAAGAACAAGACTATGACCAAGACTTTGACAGTCTTGGTCTTGTTCTTGTTTTGCTCATCACTACAGTTTATATTATTCAAGCAACAGTTGAAGCTTTATGTCATGAAGTCGATTCTCTTATTATAATAAGTTTTAAGTATATAGATACCGTGATACTATGCAAATTGAACGGAATAAAAAAAAAAATTTAAGTTGTCCTTCTATATATGTCACTGTGAATTGAGATGGAAAGATTTTACCAACCTTAAATGTATGAGACTCGGGCATTGGTTACCAACTGTGAAAACTAGGGAAAATCTAGATTATTAATTAGTATACCGAAACTGAAAAAGTCGACGGTATATGAACAAGCTTAATGCTGTTTATTGTGCGTTGGACGATTTGGGCTTATTAAATATAGTCCAAACGCTATGCCGTGATAATACTGCATCTAATATAGGACGTTTAAAAGGTTGTCCTTTTATGCTCTAAAAAAGTACTAGAGCTAACATTAGAGAAAGATTTATTGTTTTTATCAAAGCCATCCATTGACACGACCCGCGTCGCTTCATTATACACGATGTCCCGCGACTCGTGCCACCTTCTTCAGCCGTCGCCCTACTATGAGTACTTGACTGACCAACACCGCGTGTCATACGCTACGGTGCAAAGTCCAAAAATGCCGCACGGCCGACGACGACCCGCCGCAAATGGTGCGAGAGTCTTCTTCCCGTTGTGAATGCGACAACGTCGACCAACCGATCCGCACCCGCGCACCGTCGCCTACAACGCTGCTAACCTTATGTCGCCCAAGGATTACGCCGGACATCGCGTTGTCGACGCTAGTGAAAGTACCGCGATATTATGCGAAGATTATTATTACT